GACAAAAGAAAAAGAAAATTTTACTTTCAAGAATATCTTCATTGGGGGCACCTGGGTAGCTCAGTGGGTTAAAGCCTCTGCCTGTGGCTCAGGTCATGATCCCGGGATCCTGGAATCGAGCCCCACATCGGGCTCTCTGCTCCGTGGGGAGCCTGCTTCCTCCTCTCTCTCTGGCTGCCTCTCTGCCTACTTATGATCTCTGTCTGTCAAATAAATAAATAAAATCTTTAAAAAAAAAAGAAAGAAAGAAAAAAGAACATCTTCATTGGAACCTTTGGTACAAATTCAATGAGGGAAGTAAACTAAAAATAAAAGTAAGGATTTTTTTTTAATCAATTATGCCTAATAATTAGCTGATTTTTTATGTTAGTTGGATTTACTGGATTTACTTAAGTATGAGGCAAAAATAATTACTCGTTTTGTTAACATTGGAAGGTAATTTTACTTAGTACATATTAATGAACTAAACATCCAGGTGAAAACAATTTTAAAAACATAAAGTACCAAAATGAAACAAGCAGAAAATGTTATCAATAATAGTGACTGCAAAAATTTAAGTCATTTTGAAGTAAAATTGTTAAATTAATAAAAGCACCATAAATTAATTCACTAGAGATAATTTCTTTTTTTTTTCCTAGTAGGCTCCAAGCCCAGCACAGAGCCTAACATGGGGTCTGAACTCACTACCCTATGATCAAGACCTGAGCTGGGATCAAGAGCCAGAGGTTCAACTGACTGAACTATCCAGGTGCCCCCACTAGAGATAATTTCTAAAGCGTTATTAATATTCTAAAATTTAGAAGAGGATTACATTTTATTCAAAGGGCTAAAAAAGCAATACACAGTTTTGACCTCAAAATCACTTGATAATAGGATCCAAAAAATATTATTGTGTAATCTGAGTTACAGGTGATTTACCAAAAAAAACTAAACAAAAAATGATCCTAACAAAAAGTGCTAGCACACCTCAGCAAAAAACACCTTAAAATAATCGTCCACCATACATAGGTTATCCCAGAGATTTCAATGCTAGTAAAATAATAGGAAAAAGAATGATTAAAAAAAAAAATACATCTCAACAGATGACAATTTAATACAACTCAGTATTCAACTTTGAATGATACTCTAAAATATCAAATACAAAATTTCTTAATGTGAGAAGTATATACAAATCTAGAGTTAAAATCCTATTTTCTGTAATACTGGTTATTAACTCTAAAGATTTTAATAATAATAGGTGTTACCAGCGGTATGTTGCTAAAAATTTAACAGCTACCGCTTCTGAAACACTACCACCCACAACCATCACCACCTTTTGATTTGCAACATTTCTGAGGTATTAATAGCCCTACCATGGTTAATTTGAAGGTATCAATGCAATGTCACTACATGGTAATTGAGAACAGATACACATTAATAGACTGGCTTCTGCATGCTGGCTCCAGTACATCACTGGGCATTAACTTCCATTGAACTCTACTCATTGACAAGCACTGGGCTATAGACTTTATATAGCCCATTCCATTTAATCCTCACAATAAACTACAAAGTATATATTACTTCCTCTTTCAAATGAGGAAATGGAGGCTCTGAGAGACAAAGTAATTTGCCCAAGGTCACATTACGAATGAGTGGCAGAGCCAGAATCTAAAAATATTTTTAATTGTTTTAATTATCATTCTTCATTCCCACCCATAGTTTTTATGGTCTAATTTTTAAATGAACTAACTCATTCATTTGCCTACTTATTTGCAGTACTACAGTAATGGCAATATTTTTTTGATAAGAGAAGTGAGATCATGACCTGAGCCAATATTTTTTATTGATATTTATTGTAGTACTATAACTGATGACATACAAAGAGTTTGGAAACAGGTCTTCATGTCTCCAAAGACTATTCTTCTTTCCCCTAAAATATTCTGTTTCTAAAATAAGGAATACTGATTTTAAATATCAGATAAATAATCAGTAATAAACTAGAGCTCAGTATAAAAATCAACATACTATATTATCATCTTTAAAATTAACTATAAAGTATGCAATAAAAACAGAGCTCAATCACAAGTATAAAATATGTGATGGTTTATTTTTTCTTTTATTAAAAACATTTTCAAAATCCTGATGGAAAAGTTAAAGTAGTCATGAACAAATGGAAGTGTACATACACACATACAGCTCTTGGGTGGGAAGTCTACATGTTGTAAATAAAAATTGCAATAGTTCTTCTACTAACTAACCAGTTAGTAAATAAAAAGCTAAAATAAAGCACTCTCAGAACTGAGAACACATTTAGTGAATATCACTTAGACAAAACTGGTTATCTTAAGAAATTATTTATAGGGGTGTTTGGCTGGCTCAGTTGATAGAGTATGCAACTCCTGATCTTGTGGTTGTTCGATCGAATTCCACACTGGGTGCAGAGATAACTTAAAAATAAAATCTTAAAAAAAAAAAAGAAGAAGAAGAAGGAGGAGGAGGAAAGAAAGAAATGACTGGGCCATCTGGTGGGTCATTCCGATCTGACCCATTATCTCTGCGTCATGAGATCAAGCCCCACTTCGGGCTCCATGCTCAATGGGGAATCTGCTTGAGATTTTTCTCTCTCCCTCCCTACCTGCTGTCTTGTGCTCTCTCTCTCAAACAAATAAATCTTTAAAGAAAGAAAGAGAGAGACAGACAGACAGAGAGAAATGATTCATAAATGTATAATTAAGATTGAAACATTTCTTAGGGACAGCTCTATTTTTTTTTATTAAAAAAAAACAGAATTAGTAAATTATGTCTACCTCACAGCTAAAAAGAGGAAGAGTCAGAATTTAACCTCAGATCTAACTCCAAAATAAGGACTAAGCAGTATATTACAATCATAAACCTGCTTGGTACCTGAAAATAAAATTAGAAATTTTAATTACTTAATTAAAATTAAAATCATTAGTTTGTTACTAAGGATTGTGAATGGTTTTAATGGTCTTCCTTATATTTTTCTCTGAAAAAATTTATACGATGATTTTTTAGTTTTATAATTGGAGAAAAGTTTATTTGATTTTATGGGGGGGAAATGTTATTGCTTACAGAAATGGAAAAATCTGTGAAATAAGAGAAATTCCATTGGGTTATGGACATTGGGGAGGGTATGTGCTATGGTGAATGCTGTGAAATGTGTAATCCTGATGATTCACAGACCAGTACCCCCGAGGCAAATAATACATTATATGTTAATAAAAATAATTTTTAAAAAAGAGAAATTCCAGGAAAAATTTTTAAACAGGGACTCTCAGAATATCTTAAACATATGCTGAAGTCATATAGAAAAGAATAATTTGGTACATATTAATATACCAAAATGCAAATATTAATACTGTAATACAAATAGCTAATATTAATAGCTAATTAACAGCAAATATTAATAGCTAATACCCTAGCTAGGTAGGTGTTACACTAAATCACTGAAATGCAGTGATTCTTTTTTTTTTTTTTAAGATTTTATTTATTTGTCAGAGACAGAACACGCACAAGCAGGGGAAGAGGCAGTCAGGAGAAGTAGGCTACCCATTGAGCAAGACACCCAATGCAAGACTCGATCCCAGGACTCTGGGATTATGACCTGAGCCAAAGGCAGATGCTTAACAGACTGAGCCACCCAGACATCCCTGAAATACAGTGATTCTTATGAGAAATGGCAGAAAAGAACATCTTTCTCTGTATTTTGCAGACCTCTCTTTTAATTTATAATGAAGAGTAAAGAGTAGGTCCAATTATAGAGATCTGAGGTACTATGTAAGTTCTTATACTAATTAATCCTCACCACTATTTATGAATGCACATCTTATGAATTTACAGTACTTTTGTTTTTTCTAATTTGGTTGATTTCCTAGAATAAATGAGGAAGCTTCTAGTTACTTAATAAAATAATGTGCTATATTCCCAGCACTTAAGAACACGTAGGACTCAATGTTACAGTTGTTGAATTAATGTATAAAGTCCCTTCCAGTAGGATTTTTAATGAAAAATCTGTTTAAAAATTGAATGAGCATATTAAAACAAAGTTATCTAGAAAGAAAAATAGTCTTCTAATTCCTAAGTTAGGGGTCTTTAAAAACATAAACATAAAACATAAAACTGGGAAGACAGTATTCTTACTACTATGACATTACAAATAATGTCAGTTTAACCAGACATAAACTATAATCAGAAACAGAGAACTACATGGGGTATATTTAATTTCCTTTCCTTTCCTACTTTCTTTTTTTCTTTTAAGCTTTCGTTCCTATCTCTACCTACTGAAAGAGGAAGAAAAATAATTTAGGAATGAAATTACCTCCCAGTAACCTAGAGTTTATATTCCATGTATGTTTATGGTTACATAATTTTTTTCTACCGTTTCACATAGCTAGTAAGTGGCAACTAGTAGGCCCTATGATATTTTGTTGATCTGATATGCTGTGATGAGTTTATGGTTACTCCTCTCTTACTGGTGTTTCAATTTACTTCCACTATTGAAAACATGTTGACTTAGTGTTTAGACACTGGCCCAAAGCAGTTGGAATTACTTTCAACTATAAAAAGTGCAAGTTATATTTTTTATACTGTATCACTTGACCTACATATTCTCTGACCTACATCAGATAAATTAATATATATTACACAACTGGAGGGTTGAATGTGGAATAGTAGTGAAGCCTTTGAGCTTCTCCCTCTTAAATTGGTTAGAGACCCTGAGCATGATATATTTCACTGCTTTAAGAATGAGGGTAATTATGGTCAGCTATGAAACAAGAAATCTGTTTATGCTCAGAATGTACATATTGCTCAGAACAAGGTTGGGTACACAGAATTTAAGACTAGAACATTGCAATTTACTTACATTTTTTACCTATAACACCCAACAATCAGGTATTCTATTTCTTCTTCCTGCTTTTTTTTTTAACTCTATCAGTGTAAGTTTATTTTCCTAACAGAAACAAGATCTTATATATTGAACAAATGCTATGTGTCAAACGCTGTTTTACACACTTTAAATACATACTACATTACCTAATGCCTCTTGCATCTGCAGTTCATATTGAGGAAAAAAAGTAACAAACACTCGTAGGTTTCAAATTAAGAAATACATTGATTTTCTTAACACAGTCTTTAAGACATCTATGGTTTAATATTCTGTACCTTGCTATAATACTATAATAGCAACTCTAATGAGAACACTTTATATTCACATGGCATCTGTGAATAGATGTTATGTAAACTATAATGTACATAACATTTTCAAATTGTGTCTATCATTTGTGAGGAAGGCATTACTATTCCACGAAGTGTAAAAAGAGAGATTCAGAGGTGAAGCTTTGCAGATGATAACTGGCATAAATGGAAGTAGAATTCAGGTCTCCTGGGCCAATTGTATTCCTTCTCTTGTGGGGAATGAGAAATGCAGGAAGATTCACACCTGAAGAAGGTTAGAAAAGCATGGACATGGACTCTCTGCTGAGTACGACCTACTGCCCACAGAGAAAAGGAGATCTCCGGACAAGAACAAGCTCCAGTCTTTGTATTAAATAGCATATTTCAGTCTTAAGAGCTTGAATCTTCACTGGTGAAGCACTTAGGGGATATCATAGTATTTGTTTAATTAAAATTGTTGATCTGACTGGAAAGAATACTTTGTACTGTTATTTAATTACTGACTTGAAATCCCTTCTAATAGCACCTTAAACTTTTATGCTTCCACATGTGTAATTATTCTATGATTATAAGTGATAAAGAATATTAGGAAATATATTAGGAATGTAATAAATGCAGAATATTTTGAATCTCCTTAAGTAAACCATAAATGTATAAAAAGTAGGGACATAATCTTTGAGCACATCACACACACTAGGCAGTCAATAGCTTGGCAAATTTACTAGAAACTGAAAATTAACTACAAAAGCCCAAAATCTTTATGAACACCAAAAAACCAACCAACCAAACAAACAAAAAAAAACCACCACCAACAACAACAAAAAACCCACCCAAACCTCCAAAATCCTATAGCTTTGTTTTATCAAATGCATACACATTAACTATTGAGAGGCACCGATCCTAAGAATTTATTTCAAACTTTTAATTTCCTTTGATACTCCTTGATATCATCCTGTCATCACCTGCCAAGGAAGCACACATACTGGCATCCAAGGAAATCCAACAACCTACTCTTCCAAAAATTTCAACAGAATGTTAATACAGGCACATCAATAAGATCTTACTCTTGGTAATTATTTATAAACGAAGGGTAAGAAGAAAAAAGATAAACTTAATAGTACCTTTAAAACGCACTAAGCAAAAGAAAATCTAGGGAGGACCAGGCTCAGGAGGAATACTGAATTTGGAAAACTCTTAATTTTTTACTGATATGTCACCATTTAGCATTCTTCATCTTCATTTTAAAAGAAACTAAACTGGGGGCGCCTGGGTGGCTCAGTGGGTTAAAGCCTCTGCCTTCGGCTCAGGTCCTCAGGTCATGATCCCAGGGTCCTGGGATCGAGCCCCATGTCGGGCTCTCTGCTCAGCGGGGAGCCTGCTTCCCTTCCTTTCTCTCTGGCTGCCTCTCTGCCTGCCTGTGATCTCTGTCTGTCAAATAAATAAATAAAATCTTAAAAAAAAAAAAAAAGAAAAGAAAAGAAACTAAACTGTACTCTAAAAACAAAATCCTTCAACAACTCCCATAATTTTCTAAAGAGTTTAAACTTTCATGATTGTGGTCAACTTTACAGTAAAGATATGCTAAAGTATTCTAATAGCAAGAGCTGGATGCAGATATTATCAGAGTTTCAGTGCTGAGGTTTCCAAAAACAAACAAACAAACACAAACAAACAAACATGGGTCATAAAGCAGAACTGAAATAGTTCAGCAGATAAGGTCAATCATTTCCAAGGCAATCACATAAAACTTTAAGAGTTAATTTTTTGGATTTAACAATGATAAAATTAATATAAAACATTTTTAAATTTAAAGAAGTCCTAAATGAGGTCTTTAAAAAAGTGATGATTCTTTTGTCTGAAATCAATCAAATACAAGCTTCTATGTTCTCATCTGAACAAATTCAAAATTTGCATCTCTCACTTCCATATTCAAACATATCGTTATGACAGAAGCAAATCAAATTCCAACCAATTAAAAGCTATCAATACAATTCTGCTCTAAATAGTTCTCTCTTATAATATTTGTTAGTTTTTATGAAAAGATAATAATAGAAATTCTGTTTAATTCTCAAATTTCTCATGAGGGAATTATTTGATTATTTCTCCTCCAAATCTCACTTAACTTACAAAAGTATATCAATGGAGATAAATAAGGGTTAAAAAACAAAGCAAAACAAAACAAAACCCTTTTATACAGGCTCCAAAGTAGAATTCAAGAGTTTAACATATAAAAAAAAAAAAATCCTTAATTTAACCAAATCTATTCATTACTATTATTTACTATTATTCATTGAAAGAGGATTTCTGAAGTCATGTTTATCACTTGTTAAAAATTCAAATTAAATAAATTTGTTTTATAATGAACAAACAGAATGGTTTATCTTATTATAAAGAACAATTAAAATTTCAATAGTAATTAAAATTGAGCCATCCCTTTTTTCTCCCCTTATTCATCACAATATACCTTCTCTTACTGACTCATTGGTTGATTCTCCTTTTAGACTCAGCATCCTGGAGAAGCCATTGGAAAGAGTAGAGAAAATGCCACGGATGAAATATCCCTGTTGCTCAGATTCCTCTGACCTCCCTGAAGTCGGCCACGGTCTAACAAATCCGATATTGCAGCGGGGTTCTGGCTCTGAAATAGATCTGGTGAACGGAACCCGAAGTGACCGGGTGTTGACCAGGTTCAGCTTCTCTGTTGATGTTCCAAGGACCTCGTTAGCAGAAGAAGAAGCCTTATTGCCAACCATCTTTGACAGGACCTTTTGTTGAGGTTCATCCAAGTCTTTTTTATTAGTCTCCAACCTCTCCCTTTTGCCCCCTTTCCACCTATAGCTGGGATGTGTTTGCCACCGATAAGCACCCAGTGGCTTTCCTAGACTGCATGCAGCATGTTCATTTTTCTTCCTCTTGCTTTTCACTGGACCACGCCAAGGATAGCTCTTTAAGCTTGCTCCTATCTCTGAATTTGCATCAGCAGGTTCTGACAAAGATCTTCGATAGCTTGGAGGACAAGGTGATGTCTGTCTCTTAAAGATGCTCATCTTCCACGACTCCATTTTTTAACAACTTCTCTAAAACGTTAAGTTTCCTCTACTCTGCAGTCTTTGCAGTCGAACCACACTTGTCCGTGCAGTCCAAAATATTCAACTGCTTAAGCAGCTTTCTTTGTGTGGCTTTGAACCACAGCAGATGTTGCTGCTTAAGAGCTGGTGTCATGTTATTACCCCATTTTCCCAGATCTCCGAAATTTCAGCAGCACCCAAAAATTTCTTGCCTGAAGCAAATAATCTTCAGAGTGCAGCAAAAGTAAAAATTTCCAGAAGATCATCTCGCTTCCTGCTGTAGGTTTCATCTCTCTACTAAGTTTTCAGGAAATGATTTTAAAGAAAATAAGAAGTGAAATAAAAGCAACAAAAAACCCACAAACACCTCTATGGGCCAATAGCAGTTAAGTGTTCACCATGCAAATGACAGTGGGTTAAAAACAGATTGTGAAAGTACTCAAGCTGACATCCACACTTGACGGAAGAAAGAAAACTTGCCTAAAAGTCTGCCCTTGAAGTGACAATTCTTCAGAATAGTTTCTAAAGTCTGTATTTCAGAAATTTAATTTCAAGAAAATCACTGCTATTTATACCACAACTTCTCTCAAAATTAATACTGGTTTTCAACAATAGGTAAAGTCATATACTATTTTGTTCAAGTAGGCACTGCAAGGAGGAGGAAAAATGAGCTAAAGAATGCCAAAATTTAAAGCCACTTTAAAAATAACATATACTAGGGAGAATTCTAAAAGCATAAATGGACAGAAAAGAGACCAGGGACAGAGGGTATTTGCTATGAACTACAGCAAAGGAAAAGCAAAGTCTTGAGGCAATATCTTGTGGGAACTGGAACACAGGAACATACATATTTAGATGATTTCTAGAAGGGGAAAGTTTGCTTTGTAAATCTAGTTGGAATAAGTTGTATGGAAATATATTCCCTATCTGTTTAAACAAAGAAATTCCTTTACTCTTCTTTGTGCTGCTTACAACTTTAAAAAAAAGAGCTGACTATTCAAAATTTTGTTAAAGCAAGTACCTTATAGGGAACCAAGATCATGAATGCCAAGTTTTTGGCTGGTTAATTTTTTTTTTTTTTTTCAAATGTCTGCTCATAAACTCCTGAAAACCGGGGTTTCAAATGGAAAGCCTGACAGACTTTAGGCCACCAATAAAAGAGATATAACATGGTAATCAAATCACTTTGCAAGTTGCAGAAAAAAATAATTTAACCTGGAAAACTAAAAACGTATTCATGTAGTTGCAGAACACGTACAATGAAAAACCGTCCTCAAACTAAGTCTTGTTACTATAGAAATTGGACAGTTAGTACCTTATCTATTCTTTCAAACATATTAAAATGTTCTAGTTATTTCCATTCATAAGGCAATGATCCATTTTTTTCTTAATATAGGCTCAAAATTTATATGTCTATATTAAAGAAATGTTGAAGTACTTGGCCTTCCCAAAAACATAACATGTCAAAGTAGAGTGTCTTACAGTCATAAAACTTTCTCGTTTAAAAAAAAAAAAAAAAAGCAAAACAAACAAAACCCAGAAATCTGACTTTGCAGAGAAAAACAATAAACATTAAGCTCTAATCTCTATTAATGGCGCATCACACTATCTACAAAAATTTATCTGTGATGAAAATAAACCTAAATGTAACATGTAAAACTGTAAAGCTTAAAAAATAAGCCAAAGGAGAATATATTAGCAAACTGAGGGTAGATGAAGATTTCTTAGAACACAAAAGAGCAATAACTGTCATAGGAAAATAGGAATAAATATAAATGCACAAAAATCAAAAGCTTCTGCTCAGTACAAAATATATTAAGAAATCAATAAGCAATTCATAAAATGAGAGAAAATATTTACAATACTCACAATTTGTACCACAACATATAAAGAACTTCAACTAATTAGTAAAAAAAGAAACCTAATATTTTAAAATAGTCAAAAAGAGTTGGATAAAACCTTCACAAAGAAAGCTATATGAATGGTCAATAAGCATATGAAAAAGTACCTAATCTCATTAGTAATTAGAGAAATACAAATTAAAGCTATAATGAGATATCATTGACCTCCAATAGCATGGCTTACATTTAAAGGGCTAAGAACACAGGTGTCGGTGAAGATGTGAGCAACCAGAAAACTCATAACTAGCAAGAGGAACATAAAATGGTTCAGTTAGTATGAGAAATTGACATTTTCTTTATAAAGATAAACCTAGGGATGCCTCAGTGGCTCATTGGGTTGAGCCACGGCATTCAGCTCAGGTCATGATGCCAGGGTCCTGGGATCGAGCCCCGCATCGGGCTCTCTGCTCAGCAGGGAGCCTGCTTCCCCCTCTCTCTCTGCCTGCCTCTCTGCCTACTTGTGATCTCTCTGTCAAATAAATAAATAAAATCTTAAAAAAAAGATAAACCTACATCTACCCTGTGACCCTGCAGTTCCACTCATAGGCATTTACTCAAGAGAAATGAAAATACACATACTTGTACTTCAATGTTCACAGCAGCTTTATTTAGAAGAGCCATAAACTGGAAACAACCCAAATGCCCATCACATAGAATGGATAAACAAACTGCGGTATTTTCATACAATGATGTACTACTCAGCCAGAAAAAGAATTAACTATTAACAACAACAACAACAAAACAAGGCAGATGAATATCCCAGATACTATGACACCAAAAGAAACTGGACACACAAGAGTAAATACTGTATGATTCCATTTCTATAGAGTTCTAAAACAGGATAAACTAATGTATAATGGAGGGAAAAAAAAGCAGTTGTCAGTGATGGAGGACACTATTAGCAGGAAAAGGGCACCAGGAAGCCTTCTGGGGTGATGAAAACTTTCTAAGTCAAGACACAGATAAGAATATGGGTTTATGTAATTATAAAAACCCATTCAAGTAGTCACTTAAGGTTTATGCATTTTGGGGACACCTTGGTGGCTCAGTTGTTTAAGCATCTGACTCTTGGTTTTGGCTCAGGTCATGATCTCAGGGTTGTGAGATCGAGCCCACATTGGGCTTCGTGCTCAGTGTGGAGTCTGCTTGAGATTCTCTCCCTCCCTCCACCTCTGCCCTTCCTCCCACTTGTGGATATGCATGCTCTGTCTCCCCTGACAAAATAAATTATTTTTTTAAATATTTATGCATTTTTCCATAATTAAATTTTACCTTAAAAACTGTAAGCAATACTGAACTTGTAGTTAGTAGGTTTGTTACCCAGTGTTACAGGTATCAATTCTGAAACCACTCTCTGTGTATTTTAAGCTTGAGGAAAGGACTAAACACATCGAAGGGAATAAATGGATGAATGAATGAACGAATACATACATACATACATATATACTAATACTAGAACCAATACTATGTGCCTCCTGATATGTTGAACTGTGAAGGATACATATTTGTATATTATTCTGTAAAAATACACAACCTAAATTTAATCTAATCACAAGAAATATCAGATAACCTCAAATTAAAGATCTGCAGAATAACTATCCTTGCTTCAAAAATGTCAAGGTGAAGAAAATCAAAGAAAAGCTATGGAACTGTTAATTCAAAGGGGACTAAAAAGAAGTTATTAAAGCAATGCATGATTTTGGGTTAGATCCTGAACTGGGGGGAAAAAAAAGCTATAAAGGACATTATTGGTACAATTGACAAAACTAGAATATGGATTATGGATTAGATAACAGAATCATATTAACATTAAATTTCCTGATTTTGATTATTTTCTTAAGATTGCAAAAGAGAATGTTCTCATTCTTAGGAAATTCATACAGAAGTATTTAGGGACATAGGGGCTTGATGTTTCTAACTTATTCTCAAATTAGTCAAGAAAAAAGTATGCATAGGAAAGTAGTAAAATAAAGCAAATGGGGCAAAATGTACACAATTATTGAATATAGGTAAAGGGTATATGGGAATTTCTTGCATTTTAGCAAATTTTCTATAGGTTTGAAATTACATCAAAATAAAATATTAAAGAAGTAAAATTCTTAATTCTGTAACTACTTCGTTTGGGTCTATAATACAGACAGAGATAATTTCAGAGTATCTTTTGACTAATATAAAGAAATATCTAGTTACACAGGTTTCTTGGGAGAAGGAGGTTAATCAAGATCATCCCCTATTAAAATATCTCAATGGAAAATTAAGATTATAATTTTGAGGGGTGCCTAGGTCACTCAGTTGGCTACGTTTCTGCCTTCAGCTCAGGTCATGATCCTGGGGTCCTGGAATCAAGCCCCACACAGAGTTTCAGGGTCCCTGTTCAGCTGGGAGTCTGCTTCTCCCTCTCCCTCTGACGCTCCCCACTCCGATTAGTGTACTCTTTCTCCCTCTCTCCCTTCCCCCACTCCTCTCCCTCTCTCTCTCATAATAAAAAAATAGAATGTTTCCAAAAAAAAAAAAAAAAAAAAGAGTGACCATAATTTTGAGAAAAGTTGCACAGCAGGAGAACTTGAGCCCTGTAATCAACATTGTGAAATTCAGACTCAATGTTAAATGAAAAAATTCTTTTATACACTAAATAGGTAAGGTAAAAATAAGTATTATAGTTTCCTTTTTTTTTTTTTTTTAAGATTTTATCTGTTTATTTGACAGAGAGAGAGATATCAAGAGAGGGGACATAAGCATGGGTAGTGGGAAAGAAGCCAGCTTCCACTGAGCAGCGAGTCTGATGTGGGGATCCATCCCAGAACCCTGGGATCATGACCCGATCCCAAGGCAGACACTTAACAACTGAGCTACCCACATGCTAATTATCATAGTTTCTAACCTCATCAACTCAATTCTTTTGAGGAAGTACCACAAATCTTCTTATCATAAACTTCCTTATTAAGGAAGATGGAACTGGAAACACTAAATAACAGAGAAAAAATTCAAGAGAAATCAAAAAGCAAAAGAGCTACAGACAAGGAAGTGACAGTCTCTAAGAATAGCTAAAGGAGAAGATTCATCTCATAGCTGCCGAAGTTTAAGTCAAGTGCTTCAATCATTTCACCGTTACGAAAGCCTAAGAATATTTATGTTAGTTATTTCTCCACGTTTTATCTTTTATCTGAATTTAAGACAATAACTTACCACTCTACATTTTCTGAATTTTTCCAAATATATATAATGAATTCATGAATTTTTAAGAAAATATTCACAGGATTTATGGTTTCATGAAATTAGAAACAATGACAGTAGTACCACTGAATTACCACATTCACTATAAATCCTACTGTAAAAACTGGCTGTGGATTAAAGTGTCAGTACAGGAACATTTCAACCTCAAGTTTCAATCAACTACTTTAAAATTTTCACAATAATAATAGG